GAAAAAAAAAATATTTTTTTTAATCTACACCTGTTGAGATCCTTGAAAAACTTTTTTTTAAAATCCGCGCCTTTTAAAGATTTTTTTTTAATTCCACGCCTTTTGATGTTAGGGCCTGCTAAGGTCCATGGAAAATATTTTTAAAAAATCCACGCCTGTTGAGGTCCTGGCAAAATGGTCCTTGAAAAAATGTTTCTTTGATAAATCCACGTCTGTTGAGATCCTGGAAAAAATGGTCCTTGAAAAATGTTTTTTTTTGATAAATCCACGTCTGTTAAAGGTCCTGGAAAAATGGTCCTTAAAAAATGTTTTTTTTTGATAAATCCACGTTTGTTGAGGTCCTGGAAAAATCGTCCTTAAAAAAAGTTTTTTGATAAATCCACGTTTGTTGAGGTCCTGGAAAAAGTGGTCCTTGAAAATTTTTTTCGATAAATCCAAACCCCCGTCTCTTGAGGACCTGGAAAAATGGTCCTCGAAGAAATATGTTTAAAAAATCCACGCCTGTTAAGGTCCTGGAAAAATGGTCCTTGAAGAAATATGTTTAAAAAATTCACGCCTGTTAAGGTCCTGGAAAAATGGTCCTTGAAGAAATATGTTTAAAAAATCCACGCCTGTTAAGGTCCTTGAAAAGATATGTTTACAAAATCCACGCCTGTTAAGGTCCTTGAAAAAAGATGTTTAAAAAATCCACGCCTTTTGAGGTCCTTGAAAAAAGATGTATAAAAAATCCACTCCTTTTGAGGTCCTTGAAAAAAGATGTTTAAAAACCCACGCCTTTTGAGGTCCTTGAAAAAAGATGTTTAAAAAATCCACGCCGTTTGAGGTCCTTGAAAAAAGATGTTTAAAAAATCCACGTATTTTGAGGTCCTTGAAAAATGATGTTTAAAAAATCCACGCCTGTTGAGATCCTTGAAAAGATATGTTTAAAAAATCCACGCCTTTTGAGGTCATTGAAAAAAGTTGTTTAAAAAATCCACGCCTGTTGAGGTCCTTGAAAAAAGATGTTTAAAAAATCGACGCCTGTTGAAGTCTTTGAAAAATATTCGACGTCGTTTTTTTTCTCTTTTTGACTTGGACATTCTCCTAAACCCGTCTGCCCATTAATATTGTCTGCTATTGAGCTGGCCTATGTGGAAGGGGTTTTGTATATTTACCGGTCAAACGATTGGCTACAATTAACTTGTCATTGGAATTTATGTGTCTGTCTATCGGCCACCCTGCCTGCCAGCCAGCCAGCACTTAGCTTCTCGGCTGTCAATATGAAAAATATTGCATTAATCGATGAACAGACACACAAACACAAAGCCTAGTATTTCTCACGGCGGAAACAGCGTCTGAAAAAAACATTTTGCAAAATGTGAATCGGTGTGTGTGTGCCTTCTATCTTCTAATGGCATCCCCGTACATTGGCCATCAATAACATCTCAAGAGTCACTTATTATTCGAACTTAGGACATGCAACATATTGTCACTGACTGACTCACTAACAAACGGTGATTTAGACATTAACGCCAATGAATTGTGAACACGACAACGCGCCAGCTAAAAGCTTATCCCAAGAGAAATACCGTGGGAAGTTCAAGGGTCTTCATGTTTGTTTGTTTTTGCAAAACACATTTAGGGGGTGTTGGGGTGGTACTTCACACAACCACACCATAATTTATGACTATTGGAATCAACAACAACAAAAAGGGAAAACAAATAATTGCAACAATAGACCGAAAATGCACATCAACTGGTTGATGGGTGAGAGTGTGTGTCTCTGTGTGTATGTGTGACTGCCACCAATTCAATGTCGCACAATTTTGTTTCTCATCGTCCCACCGAGCGTATGAACATTCAAGGTAGCTTCGGTGTTCCGTATTCACGTTAATTGTTTGTTTGTTGTCATTGCCACTTAAGTGTTTCCAAGGGGGGTGGGTTTTGAGGTTATGGTCGCTTTTGGTATTTTTGTCACTTCATTAATATTTTTTTGGAAAAAAAATTACGGAGCACAGTGTCACCAAAACCTTAAAAATAGGTGAGGATTGGATTAAAAAAAACATTTTTAAGAACCAAAGGCGTGGATTTAAGAAAAAAAGTTTTGCATGGGCTAATAAAATAATAAAATATTATTTAAGCACAAATACAAGATGTGGATTTTTAAAAATACTTTTAAGGACAAATAAAAAGCGTGAATTTTTAAAAATATTTTTTCAAGACCAAAACCTTTCTAGTAGAACACTGTGCCACAAAGTTCCCTTTCATAACTCACACACACACACAAAATTAAAATAATCATTTCAAAAAACTTTGGGAATGGAGTAAAAACGATAGGTAAAAAGCGAACCCCGAACCACGAGTATCAAGTATCCGCACCAAATTATCATTTATTGTTTTCGGCAGTGACTTCTTGTTGCTATCTCTTGGCATTTGTGTGCGTGATTGTTGTGTTAAGCGATGGTAATTGGAGAAGTCAAATGTCCTTGGTGTTATTATTCGACCGATATTCCCCTTTCTGTCAAGGGGTTGGTATTGCATTGACGCTCACACACACGGCGGACGGCACGGGTTAGTTGCAAGCAATCATAAGTTGCATTGTTTGTTGTCTTGTTCGACGGTAGTTTGTTGTTGTATTTGTTTTCATTTTGCCCTCGAAGTTAAAAGACAATGTCAATATGTTTTTGGTCTACGCGCTTGGGCTTTTTGATTGAGATCGTTAACATGTTTGATAATTTATTGTTATTGTGGTTTTTTTAGGAGTTGGGTGTTTGTTTTTGGTAATTGTGGGAGAATTTTTGGGTGACATATTTTTTGTGTCCGAATGAAAAAAAATAATGGTGGGAAAATGTTGTTTTTTTAATCAGATCTGAATATGAATATCACAGCCTGGATACCATTCTCAGGCCTCCACTCAATACAAGGCGTGAATTTAATATTTAATATTTTTTTAATAAAAGGTGTGGATTTCTTAAATTTTTTTTCAAGGACCTCAACAGGCGTGGATTTCTTAAAGATTGTTTTTTCAAGGACCTCAACAGGTGTGGATTTCTTAAAGAATATTTTTTCAAGGACCTCAACAGGCGTGGTTTTCTTAAAGAATATTTTTTCAAGAACCTCAACAGGCGTTGATTTCTTAAAGAATATTTTTTCAAGGACCTCAACAGGCGTGGATTTCTTAAAGAATATTTTTCAAGGACCTCAACAGGCTTGGATTTCTTAAAGATTATTTTTTCAAGGACCTCATTACTTTTTCAAGGATTTCTTAAAGAATATTTTTTCAAGGACCTCAACAGGCGTGGACTTCTTAAAGATTATTTTTTCAAGCAACTCGACAGGCGTGGATTTCTTAAAGAATATTTTTTCAAGGACCTCAACAGGCGTGGATTTCTTAAAGAATATTTTTTAAGCAACTCGACAGGCGTGGATTTCTTAAAGAATATTTTTTCAAGCAACTCGACAGGCGTGGATTTCTTAACGAATATTTTTTCAAGGACCTCAACAGGCGTGGATTTCTTAAAGAATATATTTTCAAGGACCTAACAGGCGTGGATTTCTTAAAGAATATTTTTTCAAGCAACTCGACAGGCGTGGATTTCTTAAAGAATATTTTTTCAAGGACCTCAACAGGCGTGGATTTCTTAAAGAATATATTTTCAAGGACCTCAACAGGCGTGGATTTCTTAAAGAATATTTTTTCAAGCAACTCGACAGGCGTGGATTTCTTAAAGAATGTTTATTCAAGCAACTCGACAGGCGTGGATTTCTTAAAGAATATTTTTTCAAGCAACTCGACAGGCGTGGATTTCTTAAAGATTATTTTTTCAAGGACCTCAACAGGCGTGGATTTCTTAAAGATTATTTTTTCAAGGACCTCAACAGGCGTGGATTTCTTAAAGATTATTTTTTCAAGGACCTCAACAGGCGTGGATTTCTTAAAGATTATTTTTTCAAGGACCTCAACAGGCGTGGATTTCTTAAAGAATATTTTTTCAAGGACCTCAACAGGCGTGGATTTCTTAAAGAATATATTTTCAAGGACCTCAACAGGCGTGGATTTCTTAAAGAATATTTTTTCAAGGACCTCAACAGGCGTGGATTTCTTAAAGAATATATTTTCAAGGACCTCAACAGGCGTGGATTTCTTAAAGAATATTTTTTCAAGGACCTCAACAGGCGTGGATTTCTTAAAGAATATATTTTCAAGGACCTCAACAGGCGTGGATTTCTTAAAGAATATTTTTTCAAGGACCTCAACAGGCGTGGATTTCTTAAAGAATATATTTTCAAGGACCTCAACAGGCGTGGATTTCTTAAAGAATATTTTTTCAAGGACCTCAACAGGCGTGAAGTCCTTAAAGAATATTTTTTTAAAGGGCCTTAACAGGCGTGGATTTCTTAAATGTGGATTTCTTAAAGTATATTTTTTTAAAGGACCTCAACGGGCGTGGATTTCTTAAAGAATATTTTTTAAAGGACCTCAACAGGCGTGGATTTCTTAAAGAAAATTTTTTTAAAATACCTTAAGAGGCGTGGATTTCTTAAAGAATATTTTTTAAAGGACCTCAATAGGCGTGGATTTCTTAAATATTATTTTTTTAAAGGACCTCAACAGGAGTGAGATTTCTTAAAGACTATTTTTACAAGGAACTCAACAGGAGTGAGATTTCTTAAAGACTATTTTTTACAAGGACCACAACAGGCGTGGTTTCCTTAAAGAATATTTAATTCAGCAGTTTTAAAGGACCTCAATATCAAGGACATTAATATCAAGGACCTCAACAAGCGGGGATTTCTAAAAAACATGTTTTTTAAATATCAAGAACCTCAACAGGTATGAGATTTCTTAAAGATTACATTTTCAAGGACCTCAACAGCCGTGAAATTTCTTAAAGAATTGCTATCAAGGACCTCAACTTTCTAAGCTTTCAAATATCTTTCAGTGTCCTCAAGGATCTTGATTTTTTCCAAAATGTTTGTGTCTCTCAAATATTTCTAATTACACAATTAACCTAGCAATTTTAGTTCCCAGATTCCTCGCCTAATTTCGATCTATCTCCCAAATGATTTATATCAACATCGTCATTATTGTTATCATCATCATCGACGTCGTTGTTGTTGTTATCCTAATAATCGACACGAATGATTAATGGTAAAATTGTGTGAGCAATTTTCAACCAAAAAAAAAAAAAAAATCACGCACCAGCCAGGGCACGAGTCAACAGTGACTTTAATGGACCGCTGCCACCACCACCACTACGTTAGGAGGGATGAATGTCTGCCGACCGTACAGCAGCATGACAATGACTTTTGATTATTGTTGTTATTATTGCAACTAGTAACAATGTTCTTATTGCTGTTGTTGTTATTGTTATTATTATTGGCATTGGCATAGGGTATACATATATCAGAGACTAAGTGAACTGCGTAAGAGGGCCATGAATGAAAATATTTACATCAAATATTATCCCAGGGAAAAACAGGACAGGCCATTCATTTACTCAAGTCTCCTCCACTAACATAGGTTGGTAGTAGCTTGTATGTATGTATGTGACGTGTGTGTGAAACACAAAAAAATACATTAAAGTTTTTTTTCCTTTCAGTCAGTCATTCTGTTTGGCTGACTGACCTCAGTCAGTGGCCGTAAATGGTAGTGGGAATGCCGTCTATTGACTTTATGCGTTGTACCATACCAAAGTTCTTCATGGTCACATGGAAGGCTGCCACTTTTCGCTTGGCCACAGTTGACTGCCACAGTGCAATACCACTATTAAGAAAGTCAGACACTAAGTCACCCTTGTAAAGTCCGAGGAGGTATTTTTTCACTTTGCTTTACATTTAATGACCGAAATGTGAGAAAATTATATTTACAAATTCATTTTATTTGAACACTATTTTTAGGTTAGGTTATGTTGTTGTTGTTTGGACACTATTCTGTTAGTTTTGGTTTGACTTTATGTCATGACACACATGGCTGTAGGTGGGTCATAAAAATTAACCTTAAAGTTCAATCTTTTTATTTTCTATTAGAAAAAAAATTTTATTTTTTAAAGCATAGTTTTTCAAGGTCCTCAACAGGCGTAGATTTTTTAAAGAATAATTTTTCAAGGACTTCAACAGGCGTAGATTTTTTAAGGAATAATTTTTCAAGGACTTCAACAGGCGTAGATTTTTTAAAGAATAGTTTTGAAAGGACTTCAACAGGCGTAGATTTTTTAAAGAATAATTTTTCAGGGACTTTAAAGGCGTAGATTTTTTAAAGAATACTTTTACAAGGACTTCAACAGGCGTAGATTTTTTAAAGAATAATTTTTCTAGGACTTCAAAAGGCGTAGATTTTTTAAAGAATAATTTTTCTAGGACTTCAAAAGGCGGAGATTTTTTAAAGAATACTTTTTCAAGGACTTCAACAGGCGGAGATTTTTTAAAGAATACTTTTTCTAGGACTTCAACAGGCGGAGATTTTTTAAAGAATACTTTTTCAAGGACTACAACAGGCGGAGATTTTTTAAAGAATACTATTTCAAGGACCTCAAGAGGCGTGGAGTTTTTAAAGAATACTTTTTCACGGACTTCAACAGGCGTAGATTTTTTAAAAAATACTTTTTTAAATACTTCAACAGGCGTAGATTCCTTAAAGAATACTTTTTCAAGGACTTCAACGGACGTAGATTCCTTAAAGAATACTTTTTCAAGGACTTCAACAGGCGTAGATTTTTTAAAGAATACTTTTTCAAGGACCAACTCAGGCGTAGATTTTTTAAAGAATACTTTTTCAAGGACCAACTCAGGCGTAGATTTTTTAAAGAATACTTTTTCAAGGACCAACTCAGGCGTAGATTTTTTAAAGAATACTTTTTCAAGGACTTCAACAGGCGTAGATTTTTTAAAGCATATTTTTTCGAAGACCTCAACAACCGTGGATTTTTTAAAGAATACTTTTTCAAGGACTTCAACAGACATAGATTTTTTAAGAATGCGTTTTCAGGGACTTCAACAGGCGTAGATTTTTTTAAGAATACTTTTTCAAGGACTTCAACATGCGTAGATTTTTTAAAGAATACTTGTTTAAGGACCTCAATTCCTAAAAACTTTGATTTTTAAAAGATGTGTGTTCAAAGATTATCCCCTCCGATTTCATATCGCAATAACATTATTGTAAAACATAATTTAGTTATCAAAATATATCTGATAAATTAATCCCAAAATTATTTGTTTACTTTCATCCGTCACATATTTACACGAATAATCCTTTGCGATTATAATTCGTTAATTTGAGTCCTCATTATTTCGTTCATTGAGTGTAACGAGTCTAACTGAGGACAGTAGAGGGGGTAGGACTATGCTACTGAAATACATCCCTTATCGCACTGTGGCGAACGTGGCACGTTCCATGTGTGTTCATCGGTCCTCTATTGTTGGCCCTTTTGATAATTCAATTGAAAATTTATTGCTTTAGGTCTGAGGCCACTGTTTGGCATCAAATTCTCACGCACACTTGAGTTGATCACTTTATGATCTGATGATGATGCCGAATCCTGACGATGATGGTGACGACATCGATAAAAACAATGAAGATGATTAGCATTATTGTAAAGCAACAGACACACACACGCTCTTCGAGGGGATGAGTAGCTCATCTTCGTAAGACCCAAACAAATTCCCAGGCATCTCGTCGTTACATTGGCCAGCAATTGACTTGAGGAGCGTGCTGATATTGCGAACTGGTTGTTGATGTTTTTGTTTTCTTTTTTTTTCATTATTTAAATGTTTGTTGTGATTGTCTTTTTTGGTGTTTCGCCTCTTCAATTCATCCCCCTCCGCAGTGGCAGTAATTGGCAATGGGGTGGTTATGGTTGTCGTCACAAGGACACGGCCATCAGTCGTCCATTGAGCCAGTCCAACGTATGTTGTTATGCTTTAATAGGATTAACGCTGAAGAGCACTTATGAGTCAACTGATTAACTCTCTCGGTAGTGTTTGTTGTTTGCGACTTGGCGAACATTTATGAGCATTAGTGTTGTTGTGATTGTTGTGTTCGCACCGACTGACAATGCTACCTTCCCTTTGTTTTGCGTATTCTGTGTGTGTGAATGGGTATCTCAATAATCCTGACAATTGTTTGCAAACTTTTCCCACCCAAATATCCCGCTGATAATGGCGAGAACCGACGTCGCACGACGAGTCCTCTGTCGACAATTGACATATGCAATTGTTTCATATTAAAAACGTATGATTAATATTGATTAGTCATGCCCAAGTACTTGTCGTAGATTTATGGACACTTTGCTACGCCAAATGGGATTAATGTATTTTGAATTGTTGTTTATCTTGGGAACTACTGAAGTGAGGAGAGTCCTTATTAAATTGCTGTGGGAATTTTTAAAATAAAATTATTTCAGCTATAAAGATAAAACTGTTGAGGTCCTTGAAAAAATAATCTTTAGGAAATCCACGCCTGTTGTGGTCCTTGAAAAAATAATCTTTAGGAAATCCACGCCTGTTGAGGTCCTTGAAAAAATAATCTTTAAGAAATGCACGCCTGTTGACGTCCTTGAAAAAATTATCTTTAAGAAATGCACGCCTGTTGAGGTCCTTGAAAAAATAATCTAAGAAATCCACGCCTGTTGAGGTCCTTGAAAAACTATTATTTAAGAAATCCACGCCTGTTGAGGTCCTTGAAAAATAATATTTAAGAAATCCACGCCTGTTGAGGTCCTTGAAAAACTATTCTTTAAGAAATCCACGCCTGTTGAGGTCCTTGAAAAACTATTCTTTAAGAAATCCACGCCTGTTGAGGTCCTTGAAAAATAATCTTTAAGAAATCCACGCCTGTTGAGGTCCTCGAAAAAATAATTTTTAAGAAATCCACGCCTGTTGAGGTCCTTGAAAAAATAATCTTTAAGAAATCTACGCCTGTTGAGGTCCTTAAAAAATAATCTTTAAGAAATCCACGCCTGTTGAGGTCCTTGAAAAATAATATTTAAGAATATCTTTTTTTGTTCTTGGAAATCCGCGGCTGCTTTTTTGTTAAAGAAATATTTAGGGAATATTCTTATACAAATCTTCGCATGTTAGTCTTTGAAACTGTCTTTATACAATTTCAGGACTTTTAGTGCTTGAAAAGATGTTCCATTATTTTCCCCATATCTTTCCCATCCTTTTAACCCAGAATGCCATCTAGAGTTTATAATCGACACTTACACATAACGATAAGCTCTTGGTGAGTGTCTGTGATATGCCATAAATAAAAGCTCTAAAGGACATTTCTACCACACGAGCTATAAGGGGGAACAATAAAAGTTCTACAAGCTAAATAGAAACTTACCTGATAAACATTTGCCCGAACTACGATGATTGTCATTGTTGTTGTTGTGGCCATTATTATTACTATGGTTGTTGTTATTATTGTTGCCACCATTGTTGTTGTTATTGTTGTGATGGGAATTTGACGATGATGCCGAGGATGATGAACACACCACCGATGAGGATTTATCTGAAAGGCATAGAAAAAGAAGAAAACATGAAGAACAACGATTATAAATAAAAACAAAAATAGCATTTCGGTTCGGTTGTGTCACAAAAGAACGAGAGGGAGCACGAGAGGACACGACAACTCCTTTGATATCCTTTCAACTGTATATCCGCTGTACAAAATCTCAAAAGTCTTGGAATATCAATTATTTTTCTACATGACATCTTTATATAATTGGGCCATATTAAGAACACACGCTTCAGTGAAAATGATGACGATGATGATGACAGTCGTAACGATGTCAATTCGAAGGGAATGCAAAATAATTGTCACATCAGAATTTGTTACACTTGGTGAATGGGCTGGCTTCAAGTGGTTCCCATATGAATTGGATTTTTCGAAATCGCTATTAGATAAACCAAAATAATCTCTTTCGATACGCAAATTTATGATGCCATGAGCATATCCTGTGAGAATAGAAAGGACAACATGCGACCGGAACTGGGTAACGCACCACAGCGGCAGCAGCAGCAGCCATTGATAATCAATGAAGAAGAGACCTTTCAGCCAGACCATAACTGAGTCAAATGGCAGAGAATAAAAATTGAGGGGGGAGGGGTGGAGGAGTTCAGTTAATTTAAGGGGTGGAGCGTACGTACATACATCATAACATATCGATGGGAATATCACAACAAAGCCGTTGGCCCATTAAAAAAAGATGAAGCACTCAATTTTTGCCTCTGCCCCCTATTCTCTGAGAACAAAGGGTAGAAGGAGGACATGGTGAATTTGTTTACAAAACAAAACTTACCAGTCATAGAATTTTTATGGCTTTTATGGTTATTCCTTTATATGTAGCAATATTTGTTGTTGTTGGGCTCTTCTTCTGGTTGATGAGTCGGCCGTCATTATCATCATTTCAATACAAAGGACTGAGTTGCAAAGTAAAAAAATGCAACAGCCACAAATAAATGCGAACGACAATAACAACAAAAGAAAACGTGCAACGACACATGCCTGGTAAAGGATATTCTTACATTTGCTATTTTTTTGTTGTTGTTGTTAGTGGTTATGATTTATTTCATATTTTAGGTTATTTTTTTAAACACTGCAGATTTGTCCTGAACCACCAAGGCGTGGATTTTTTAAAGAATATTTTTTTTCAAGAATAACAAAGCGTTTTTTATATAATATTTTTTCAAGGTCCAATAAGGCGTGATTTTTATAAAAATATATTTTCAACGACCAAAAAGGCGTGGATTTTTATACACCAATATTTTGTAGCGCCGCCGTTTATCTAGCTGAGTCGATCTAGAATTTTGTATAAAAATATATTTGTAAACACGATAAGGCCACGATTCTGGATTTTTATAAAAATATTTTTCCAAGGAATAACTATTTATACCCTACACAACCATGTTGTCAGGGTATTATAGCTTTGTGCAGCCCCAAAAGCTTGTAACGCCGCGAAATATTGGTGCTAGACCCACCTTTAAGTATACCGATCGTCATATCTCGACTAGCTGAGTCGATCTAGACATGTGTGTCCGTCCGTCCATATGTCCATTATAATTTGTAAACACGATACAGGCCACAGTTATGGACCAATCTACACGAAATTTTGCATGTAGGATGGCTTCTGGCCAATGAAGACCCCTATTGTTTTGGGAAAAGATCGGTTAATATTTAGGGGATGAAATGGACCAAAAACTTTATTTTTGTCGGTTTTTCCGGTCACTCCAGAGGCCGCAATTATGGCCCAAACACCGCAAATTTTTGTATGGAGAAGGAGATCGGGCCAAAGAATAAGTATGCCTGTTTTGACTGACCGATCTTTAGGTCAGTATTTAGCGGGTCAAATGGACCCTGACTTTTGTGTGAAAAATTACAAAATTTGTATTCTATGGGGTATATATTTGCACCTGAAGGTCCTAGACCCGAAAAGTTGATAGTATGTTCAAGAGGAGTGGTTGACCTTTAAATTGATACCAATTATATTTTTCGAGTCGATTTATAGGCCAAAATTGAAAGCCGAACATCACAACACAACACACGGTTAAGGGAATCTGGACAAGTGATTAGAAGGGCTGTACTGAATATCTTTAATATTTCTTGACCTCTAGTCGGTCAAGAGGGTGCAAATATCGCGAAATATTGCCCAAGCTCAGATCATAGAACCACAGAAAGTTATAGTTTCGTGGAAGTTGTGTAGGGTATCATATGGTCACTGGTTTTAGTAAAGATCGGTTAATATTTAGGGGATGAAATGGAGCAAAAACTTTATTTTTGTCTGTTTTTCTGGCCGCCCAAACATCTCGAATTTTTACATGGAGAAATGGAGATTTGGCCAAAGAATAATCATGCCTGTTTTCATAAAGATCGGTCAATATTTAGCGGGCCAAATGGACCTTTACTTTTGTGTGAAAAAAGACAAAATTTGTATTTTGTCACGTATATATTTGCCCCAGAAGGAAATAGACCTGAGATGTTGATAGTATATCCAAGAGGATATACTATCAAAATCTCGGATACCAATTTTATTGTCGTATGTACTCGGACGTGGTAGTTACACGTAAATGTTTACAGGTGCTTACGTATTCAGATATTAGCTAGTAGCCCATTATCACACTGGAGGGCAAAAATATTGCGCTGATCGTTTTGAAATTTTACATGTGGTTCCAGTTATGGCCAAGGGCAATGCCTATAATTTTTGGTGATGATCAAATTATAATTTTGGGATGAAGTGGACCGAAAGTTTTTTTTTTTTTTGTTTTTTCGAGTCCATGTATAGGCCACAATTATAAGCCGAACATCACAACCCACTGTGAAGAGAATATGGGCAAATAAATGGAAGGACTGTACTGAATATTAGTAATATTCGGAAAATATGTCCGTGTAATATTGCTGAGGCTCGGAATAAAAATCCACAGAAAGTTAGAGTTCCGTGGTAGTTGTGTAGGGTATCGGCCCCGTCTGACTATACTGCTCCGTTCACTGTTTTTTTTTTAATACCACCAAGGGGTGTTACTATAAACCGCCATTATGAAACGCTTTTCATTTTGTTTGTGAACATCTAATGCTTGTTGTTGCTGTATGTGGTAGTAGTTGTTGTAACGATTCATCTCTTCTTCAGAGCCATAAAAACATCTCCGTCTCCCAAGAACTTTTGTCTATTTCAAAATGAAGCCTGGCATCAACGAAGCATAGCACAGCAAAGGAGGCAGAACTTTTATCTAAAACTAAGAGCCATAACAAGAAAATAGAACAAATTTGCGTGTTCTAAGACCAGAAGTGAATCCTTTTGTTCGTAGCTGTGCTATGTGTATGTATGTGTGTCTTATACATGCCATGTCATTTGTGGTATGAGATTGTCTTAACAAAGGCAAATTCTTTCATGCGTAACTCATTATTTTTCCTTTTTTTTCTTTCTTTCTTTCGTTTTTCAGTCCTTTGAGATGTAAAAGAATCGTCGAAAGACAATAACAAAAAAAAACGAAAAATAATTGCACAGAAATCGCTTACAAAAGGATTCAAAGTTTTGTAGAAATGTGAATAAAACAAAAATGGAGAACAAAAAAAAAAACATCAGAAATGATTACAACAACAGCCATAAAAGAAACATAAACAGTGGGTCATGGGGTGGGGGATTTAAAGGCTCCCTCGGGGGATCATTATACATAAAATAAGCATATATATGCACATTCATACATGGTTTTATTCTACTTCGGTCTTTGTTTCATTTTTGCAATATCATTAAAGTTGGAATTAATGAGTCCGAAATATTCGAAACGATTTACAACTAGATTCAGATAATTTAAGGTTAATAAAATAAGCCATAAAATTCAAACTTTGAGATGTTGATTTGAAAAATTCGCGCTTAAGGTTGTGCTTGACAAACCAAAATTATTTACACATTCTTAACTTCAATTATAATAAAAAAAACTACTTGTCTTGGTCCTTGAAAATCTACGCTTTTCTCGTGTCCCTGAAAATAATCTTTAAAGAAATCTACGCTTCTAACTTAACCAAAAAAAAAATAAAATAAAAAAACTACACTTATCTTGGTTCTATTTTTTTAATATATACGCTTTTCCTTTAGAAAATAGTCTTTTACAAATCTACGCTTGCCCTGATCCTTGAAAAATATTCTTTGAACAATATATGCTCTGTATAGGTCCTTAAAAAATATTATTAAAACCAGAAAGGAAGTAGTAAAGTCAGACGGGGCCGACTATATGATACCCTTCACAACTATGGGTATATTAAAAAGGACTATAAACATGAAATTGGATGAACTAAAATATGCGATATTTATCTAAATGTGAAACGACCTAGATCTATACATAAACATGTCAACAATGGGACAAAAGTATGTAAATCGACTTCAAACAAATATCAATAGGTCATCCATTGGGCTATGTCTGTACTTCTAGAAAACGCAACTACGTTATTCTATGCTCAATTTTGTACGTTGTGCAAAATTTGATGTCAATCTGACAAACATGAGAAGTTGAATGCACAATTTACTTAGAATCGTACATATATATGGAAGCTATATCCAAATATGAACCGATTTCAACGAAACTTGTCACTGGTTAGGTTATACTAATTTCAGTACGTTTTGATCCTAAGGGAGCTATTTCTACATCTCAACCAATTTTCACGAAACTTGGCACACATCATTCTGGATTAAATTCAGTACGCTATGCAACATAAGAACTTTAGTACATTATTTACATTAAATCGGACGAAAATATATATATCTAGATCTGAACCGATTTTCAGGAAACTCAGCACACATCATTCCAGCATCAATTTAGTACGCTATGCCAAATTTCGTGCAAATCGAAAGATATATAGAGACTTTGTTGCACCATTTACTTGAAATCGGACGAAACTATATATGTTAGCTATATCTAAATCTGGACCGATTTTCACGAAACTTGGCAGACATCACACTAGGCTCAATTCAGTACGTCATGCACCATTTACATGAAATCGGACGAAACTATATATGGGAGCTATATCTAAATCTGGACCGATTTTCACGAAACTTGACAGACATCACTCTAGGCTCAATTCAGTACGTCATGCCAAATTTCGTGCAAATCGAAAAATATATAGTTACTTTGGTGCACCAATTGCCTTAAATCGGACGAAAATATATATGGGAGCCATATCTAAATATGGACCGATTTTCACGAAACTTGGCAGAAATCATTCAAGGCTCAATTCAGTACGTCATGCCACATTACGTGCAAAATTGGCAGATATCATTCAATGCTCAATTCAGTACGTCATGCCAAATTTCGTGCAAATCCATTTACATTAAATCGGACGAAAAAATATATATGGGACCTATATCTAAACCTGGACCGATTTTCACGAAACTTGACAGACATCATCCTAGGCTCAATTCAGTACGTCATGCCAAATTTCGTGCAAATCGAAGTACACATTGGGACTTTGGTACACCATTTACCTTAAATCGCACGAAAATATATATGGGAGCTATATCTAAATCTAAACCTATTTTTCCCAATTTCAATAGGTTTCGTCCTTGCGCCAAACAAATAAGCTGCGCCAAATTTCATCCAAATCGGATCATAAATGCGACCTGTACTTTGTTTACAATTTAACACCAACTGACCGACGGGCATGCATAAATTGACTCAGAAAGTGATTCTATGCATATTCTCAAAAGGAACTATGGGTCTACCTCGTTTCCTTTTGCCTATTACAAACATATGCACCAAGACATAATAGCCTGTACCACAGTGTGGTGAAGGGTATAAACACCCATACTTTGTATTGGTCGTTTTAAATATTTTTTAAACAAGTAAGCGGAGCAGTATAGTCGAACGGGGCCGACCATGCGATGCCCTACACAACTACCACGGAACTCTGCGGATGCTTTTTCTAACTTATCTGCGATTAGAGGTCAATGCTTTTTCCTAGCCTGGGCAATATTTCGTGATACATATTACACTGACATATTTTCCAAATATTACTATTCATATTCAGTACAGCCATTCTAATTACTTGTCCAGATTCCCTTCACCGTGGGCTGTGTTGTGATGTTCGGCCTATTATTAGCATCGACTCAAAAAACACAACAAATTAAGTTTTCGGTCCACTTCATTCCAATATTATAATCTGATCATCACCGAAAATTATAGGCGTTGTCCTTGACCATAACTGGATCCTCATGGAAAATTTCAAAGCGATCAGCGCTATATTTCCGGCCTACTAAATAATATCAAAATACGCATGCACCTGCACATATTTAAGTATAACTCCAACATCCGAGTACATACGTCAATATAGTTGATATCGATTTAAAGGTCAACCACTCCTCTTGGAAGTAAATATATACGCTATAGAATACAAATTTTGTCATTTTTCACACAAAAGTCAGGGTCCATTTGACCAGCTAAATATTGACCGATCTTTATTAATTATGCTTATTCTTTGGCCCAATCCACTTCTCCATGTAAAAATTCGCGATGTTTGGGCCGTAATTGCGGCCTCTGGAACGACCAGAAAATCAGACAAAAATCCCCTAAATATTAACCGATCTTTACCAAAAACAATAGGGGTCTTCATTTGCCAGAACAAAACCTACATGCAAAATTTCGTGAAGATTGGTCCATATCTGTGGCCTGTATCGTTTTTGCAAATTATAATGCACAGACGGACGGACGGACACACATGTCTAGATCGACTCAGATAGTCGAGATATGACGATCGGTATACTTAAAAGTAGGTCTAGGACCAATATTTCGCCGCGTTACAAACTCCTGGGGCTGCACAAAGCTATAATACCCTGACATCGTAGTTGTGTGGGGTATATAAATCCACTCCTTTCATTGGTCATTGAAGAATATTCTTTAAAAATCCACTTCTTTTATTGGTCCTTAACAAAATATACTTTAAAAAATACCCGTTTAAAAAATATTCCTTGAAAATATATTCGTTAATAAATCCACGATTTGTATTGGTCCTTGAAAAAATATTCTTTAAAAATCTACGGCTAGTTATGGTCCTTGAAAAAATATTCTTTAATAAAAAATTCATTTTTTTAAATATAATCTCTGAAAAAGATTTCAAACGGATTTTTTTATTAGCCATAGATATTCTGTCCATTGTAAACATGTATGAACTGAATATTTAGTGAACTTGACAAAAAACTCTACAGATTTATGGCATGCAATGGTCACAATGTCCATAAATCCTCCAGCTGTATAAATCCGTAAAGTATTCCATTCAAATGCACGGAACACAATAGAGTTGACCGGGTCTTTTTGGCCGAACGAAAAAAAAACACTCTGACAAAAAGTAAAACAAATCTTTAATAAATTTGCTCTGGTCATGCAAACTACGTAATAACATGGAGCTGAAGTGCTGCCAGCCATGTCAAAGGACCTCCACTACGTTAGACATCCTCCTCCGCTACAGCTTGTGTGCGGCTCTTTTTTTTGCGAAACAATGATGTCTCAATGAAGCCACCAAGCAAAAGATTTGTAACAGATAAAATAAAAAAAATATATAACAACAACAACTAAAAAAAACAACAACAAATGATGAGCAAAACTCTTTATTTTTTCTCTGTGCATTCGCCAGGACAAAATAAAGGCCCAAAGACCAACAAAGGCAACTAGAAAATGTTTGCCTAAATTGTTTTTTTTTCGGTGGCATTACAAGGCTCATTTGTAGAGACAGTGAAAATCTCCGACAGCCACATGTGAGTGTGTCCAGCAAGGATATCCAAAAAAACCAAAATAAGGACACTGTCCATGGTTCGTGGGGCTTGCATATGACCCCTCTCACTCTCTCTCTCTCTTTGGTATTTTGTTTATATTATTATGGCGGATGTCTAAATTGATAAATTCATGTTGACGTTGGAGCTGACCCCAGAAAGTTCGCGGTTTGCCGCCTTAACTTTTTTCAAATACCATATTTTATTCGGCTCAGAACATTTTCATTTTGCTGGTGGTTTTTTGGCAAGCAATTTGTTCTGTACATTTTTTTCCTTGATGAGGATACCCAGATACGTCACTCGGTATAGCCAAATTTAGCTTTTGTTTATTTCACCAGCGAATTAAGTTAAATTTGTGGCGGTTTTTTTTCAGCTTGGCAGGCAGATTTTAGGGGCGCGATAAATGGGATTAAATTTATTAAAAAGGAACTTAAGCCATTTTTGTTTTGTATTTTTTGTTGTCATTGTTTGGGCTTCGCGTAACAATTCACATATGTCGAAATCGCGTTTTCTGCGCTAGGACATATGTCAACGAGTGAAAAGGTTCTTTTTGCTTAAAAGGCATTCGGCTAAATCGGAGGAGGATAGAGATTTGTGTAATGGACAGTTGGGTGGCTAATTATGTGAATTTAATATTTTCAAGGACCACCAAAAGCGTGGATTTTTTATTTATTTTAAAGGGTTGGATTTTTGAAGGATATTTCTTATATCCTTTACCTATCCTATACAAGGTGTAGATTTTCAAAGAACCTACACAAGGCGTGGATTTTTTAAAGGATATTTTTTAAATGACCTATACAAGGTGTGGATTTTTTAAAGGACATCTTTAAAATGACCTATACAAGGCGTGGATTTTTTAAAGGATATCTTTTAAATGACCTATACAAGGCGTGGATTTTTTAAAGGATATCTTTTAAATGACCTATACAAGGCGTGGATTTTTTAAAGGATATCTTTTAAATGACCTATACAAGGCGTGGATTTTTTAAAGGATATCTTTTAAATGACCTATACAAGGTGTGGATTTTTTAAAGGATATTTTTCAAGCACTACCGCAGGTGTAGATTTTTTACAGAACATTTTTTTTCAAGGACTATCGCAGGTGTAGATTTTTCAAATAACACTTTTTCAAGGACTACCGCAGGTGTAGATTTTTCAAATAACACTTTTTCAAGGACTACCGCAGGTGTAGATTTTTCAAAGAACACTTTTTCAAGGACTATCGCGTATGTAAATTTTTAGGGGAACATTTTTTAAAAATCCAAAAAAGGGGTGGATTTTTTAAACAAAATTTTTTCAAAAACCCCTAAAAAGTTGGATTTGTTATTGTTGTTTTGAAAAATATTATTTCAAAGATCCACACAAGCGCAGTTTTAATAAAAAATATTTTTTATGAACCTTAATTTTTTATTTGGATACGTATGAATATTCACTCACCTCGTGCTTTGCTCTCCACATGTGATGTGTCCAATAGCGATGTTGTGGTCAACGATGATGGTGTCGTACTCGAGGTGATGACACCATGCTGCGGATGATGCGGTGAACAACCGGCCGGTTGTAGGGTATCTAGACGATAACGTTGACCCGTTGTTGCTGCCGAAACAGTGGAAATGCAATTTCCATTTAAAACTAAGCTCGGTGTACTATGGCTAATGCTGGCCGATCCCGAATTATGGACCGGTAGGCCTATGCAATTTGCCGCGGTGTTGCTATTCTGTACAGAGGGTAATGTGTCCAGAGTATCGCTGAGGCGTTGACTGGAATAAATGTCACTACAAAGAAACGAAAAACAACAATTTGATCGGAAATTATAAAAATTGTAGATATGTTCCTCACCTAAAAGCACTGGAAGCCCCAAAAAATGTACTACGATCCTGTAGTGCCGCCTTGGCTTTTTCCACACTTTGTTTCAGCTGTTCGAAGGTGGACTGATGAAAACGATATGATGTCCAATCGGGTGAACACTGACCCAGTGTTATACAATCTTCGGTCTTGACTTGAGCCAGTGTCGGCGGCGACACTCGCTTCAGGTCTAAGGCCGTTTGATATGAGCAGGAATTTTCGTACATGTTTACAAATCCGCCACAACCGGGACCTCCGCCACCACCAACAACTTCGGTCAGTGGTGCTACCGTTGACCAACTCAACTTAGCAACACTGGGTGAACAACTCAACGGAACTGCTGCCGATGTCCACTTTAGCCTGAAAGGGGGAGATAAAAGAGAACTTTTGTTAGTAAGAAATTTTTTAAAGGACATTTATTCAAGGCCTAATATGAGGCGTGGATTTTTTAAAGAATATTTTTTCAAGGCCTAATATGAGGCGTTGATTTTTTAAAGAATATTTTTTCAAGGCCTAATATGAGGCGTGGATTTTTTAAAGAATATTTTTTCAAGGCCTAATATGTGGCGTGGATTTTTTAAAGAATATTTTTTCAAGGCCTAATATGTGGCGTGGATTTTTTAAAGAATATTTTTTCAAGGCCTAATTTCAGGCGTGGATTTTTTAAAGAACATTTTTTCAAGGCCTAATATGAGGCGTGGATTTTTTAAAGAACATTTTTTCAAGGCCTAATATGAGGCGTGGATTTTTTAAAGAACATTTTTTCAAGGCCTAATATGAGGCGTGGATTTTTTCAAGGCCTAATATGAGGCGTGGATTTTTTAAAGAACATTTTTTCAAGGCCTAATATGAGGCGTGGATTTTTTCAAGGCCTAATATGAGGCGTGGATTTTTTCAAGGCCTAATATGAGGCGTGGATTTTTTCAAGGCCTAATATGAGGCGTGGATTTTTTCAAGGCCTAATATGAGGCGTGGATTTTTTAAAGAACATTTTTTCAAGGCCTAATATGAGGCGTGGATTTTTAAATAATATTTTTTCAAGGCCTAATATGAGGCGTGGATTTTTAAATAATATTTTTTCAAGGCCTAATATGAGGCGTGGATTTTTAAATAATATTTTTTCAAGGCCTAATATGAGGCGTGGATTTTTAAATAATATTTTTTCAAGGCCTAATATGAGGCGTGCATTTTTTCAAGGCCTAATATGAGGCGTGGATTTTTTAAAGGCCTAATATGCGGCGTGGATTTTTTAAAGAAAATTTTTTCAAGGCCAAAAAGGTGGATTTTTAAATAATATTTTTTCAATGTTATGAAGGATTATTTTTTTAAAAAATATTTTTTCAAGGCCTAATATGAGGCGTGGATTTTTAAAAAAATTTTTTCAAGGCCTAATATGAGGCGTGGAATTTTTAAATAATATTTTTTCAAGGACTAAAATATACGTTAAGGAATATTTTTTCAAGGAACACGTAAACGCGTTGCGAGACGTAAATTTTTAAAGGGGAATTTTTTCAATGTTTGGATTTTTTGAAAACATTTGCTCAAGGACCCAATCAGGAGCCCTTTTTTTAAGAGCGGATTTTTTAATTCATATCTTTTAAGACTTATTAGAGCTTTGCTTTTTTCACATTCCATTCAAAAATAAATATTTTGATACGCACTCATCCTAACAACGAACATTTTAATACTCTTCGAATAACGTGTGATGATTAACATGAGTGTGTAAATGTGTCTGTGTTCGTTAGGCCAAACGAATATCATGGCATAAATTTAGAAACATAAATCAAAATATTGAACTTCCGACACAAACGCCGTTCACATCGCTCGCTCGCCTGGCAAAAGAAGGTTTATGCGTTGAGAACCAGGACCAGGCTTTTTGTGATGACGATAACTAAAATTTGAATGTGAATAATAGCGAGGATGGGCGGGGGTCAGTCGGCTAAAAGTAAGCGATATTCATCAGCATATATTTCATTTGACTATTTGCTAACGCGTTGTCAGATAAAATGAAAATCTACACAACTTCATATTCGGCGAATGGTTAGTTGGTGGGTGGGTTGGCTCACTGGCGGCCTCTTTCAGTAATAATGACTTAACAATAAATATTACAGATATGAATATGTATGTGAGAGAGAAAGTTAGTTTACAATGGTGGGACCTATCCATTCAACATAGGAAGGATAATACCGCCATATCATATTGTGGATGGTCCTCTAATAATGAAACTTACATACATTTCCACAACAACTGCAGGTGGATAATGGTAATGGGTATTTTCAAACTTAACACACACTCACAACCAAACAATGTGTGTAAAATAACATAACGACCGTTACGCATTATCCTTTGTTGTAGTTTGGTTTATTATTATTATTATTTTGAAATTTTCGTTCATAAATAACTTTCAACTCGCCTTTTTTTCTATCTTTTCATTCATTGTAAATTGCGTTCATAAATAATAGAAAATAAAATGTTGTCTATGTTTAGTTTTCTACACAACACAGCCCAACAACATAGTAATAATAATAAATATGCAAATTCTATAATGCCATGATATATTTCCCCAACAGCATAGCCCAGACAAGGATTGTGTAATTAAACTCCAATTTAATTCAAATACTCTAATTACAACTTCAAGTGAATGGTAACAAGCGTTGCGAATGATTTATGCAGGGTACCCTATAGGAATAATGAAAATAACTAAAAAACGGAACACATCACTCTTTTGGACGGTAAAGGAAATATTTTTATAATAAACCACGACTGAAATTGTTCTCAACAAAATCTTTTTTAAAAAAAAACAGGAAAAAAGTTCAAAAGTCGGACGGAGCCGACTGTATGATACCCTTCACCACTTTGGATGCATACAAGAGATACTAATATATAATCTTTAGAGGACCATTGAAATGGAATGGGGTGAAACTAAATGTGTGATCTACATAGATATTTGAACCAATTAAAAACCTATGCACATATAATCTTTGTATGAAATAGAGCAAAATAGTGTATGTGGAGTTATATGCAAATCTGGTGCACCATTTACCAAAAATTGGACGAAACTATATATGGGAGCTATATCTAAATCTGAACCGATTTTTACAAAACGTCGTAAACATGGACCTATCTCAATTGCCAAATTTTATATAAATCAGACAATCCTTGGAAGTTTGTTGCACCATTTACCAAAAAATCGGTATACGGGAGCTATGTCCAAATCTAAACCGATTTTCACAAAACTTCGTATACATCAATGTGTACCCATTTTAATACGCTCTGAAAAATTTTTGTCTCAATAGAAATGAATATTGAAAGTTTGTTGCACAATTTAGCTAAAATTGGACGAAACTATATATGGGGGTTATATCTAAATCTGAACCGATTTCAACAAAACTTCATAAATATCAAACAGGACCTAATTTAATAGGCTGTGCAAAATTTTGTCACAATCGGACAAATATTGGGAGTTTGATGCACCACTTGCATATAATCCGATAAAATATATATGGGAGAAATATTGGGAGTTTGATGCACCACTTGCATATAATCCGATAAAATATATATGGGAGAAATATATCTAAAACTGAACCGATTTCATAAAACCTTCACGTACATCAAACTAAACCTAATCTAGTACGTTGTGCAAAACAGGCGAAACTCAGTACGCTATGCCAAATTTCGTGCAAATCGAATGATATATAGGGACTTTATTGCACCATTTGCATTAAATCGGATGAAAATATATATGGGAGCTATATCTAAATCTGAACCGATTTTCACGAAACTTAACACACATCATTCTAGACTCAATTCAGTACGCTATTTTCAAATCGAAATGTATATAACACACATTTGCATTAAATCGGATGAAAATATATATATGAGCTATATCTAAATTTGAACCGATTATCACGAAACTTGGCAGACATCACTCTAGGCTCAATTCAGTATGTCATGCCAAATTTCCTGCAAATCGAAAGATATATAGGGACTTTAGTGCACCATTTGCATTAAATCGGATGAAAATATATATGGGAGCTATATCTAAATCTGAACCGATTTTCACGAAAATTTGCACACACCACTCCAGGTGAAACTCAGTACGCTTTGCCAAATTTTGTGAAAATCGAAATATATATAGGGCACTAAAGTGCACAATTTACATAAAATCGGACGAAAATATATATGGGAGCTATATCTAAATTTGAATCGATTTTCAGGAAACTTAGCACAAATCATTCTACACTCACTTCAATACGTTTTGCCAAATTTCGTGCAAATCGAAATATATATAGGAACTTTGGTGCACCATTTACATAAAATTGGACGAAACTATATATGGGATCTATTTGTGCGAACTTTTTGTCTCAATCGGGAAATCGAAAATTTACATTTTACCTAAAATCGGACGGAAATATATATGAGACCTATATCTAAATCTGGACCGATTTTAATTTAATTTAACACACATCTTTCTAGACTTAATTTAGTACGCTGTGCCAAATTTCGTGCAAATCGAATGATATATACGGACTTTGGTGCACCATTTACATAAAATCGTACGAAAATATATATGGGAGCTATATCTAAATCTGAACCGATTTTTCCCAATTTCAACAGATTTCGTCCTTGGGCCACACCAATGAGCATTACCAAATTTCATCCAAATTGGATTATAAATGCGAGCTGTACTTTGTTTACAACAGACTGACCTACATGCAAAAATCGACTCAGAAAGTGATTCTATGCATATTCTCAAAAGGAACCATGTGTCTATCTCGTTTCCTTTTGCCTGTTACAAACATATGCACAAGCGCATAATATCCTGTACCACAGTGTGGTGAAAGGTATAAAAATCAGCGACTTGTAGGGTCTTTGAAATATAAAAGTTAGAATCCTTCAAAAATATTCTTAAACCAGTGAGCGGAGCAGTATAGTCGGACGGGGCCGACCATACGATACCCTACACAACTACCACGGAAAACTAACTTTTTGCGAATATTTATTCCGAGCCTGGGCAATATTTTGTGATAGTTGCACACTCTTGCCCGATTAGAGGTTAACATCACCTCTTCCTTACACTGACATATTTTCCGAATATTACTAACATTCAGTACAGTCCTTCTAATTACTTGTCCATATTCCCTTCACCGTGGGTTGTGTTTTGATGTTCGGTTTATAATTGTGGCCTATAGATCGACTCGAAAAAAAAACACAAAAAATTTGGTTT